CCCCCCACACGTCTGGCCAGTGCGGTCACCTGTACGAATAACGTACTGGCAGGTGACGCTGCGCCGCGCATACCACTCACGGGCGGCCTGAAGGGTCGGGGCAGGCTGCTGACTCTGACCGCCCGCCGGGCCTCCACGACCACCACCCCCTCCGCCTCCGCCCCGGCCACCTCCACCCCTGCCGCTGCCACGACCACCTCCGCCTCCGCTGCCACCTCCGCCCCTGTCACCACTCCCAACACCGCTGTCACCTCCACCACCGCCGCCACTAGCCTCTCCAGTCGCACCTCCACCGCCACCACCTCCACCCCCTCCTCCCCGCCTCCTCCGCCACCACCCCCACTCCTGCCACTCCTGCCCCTGCGTCGTCCGCCTGAAGCAGACGCAGCCCCGACCTTCTCAGCACCAAGGAGGTCGACAGCAGCAGCAGAGGCGACAGAGGGGAGGAGGGGGGAAGGGGAGCACCCCTCGAAGAAGGGGCCGCGGGGGTCGCCACGAGAGGTGCCTACAGCGACGATACTAGCCTCGGCTGCAAGCAGTTCCTTCTCGAGGAGGGCTATGGTGAGCTCAGTGGGGGAGCGAGAGAGGAACTGGTCCCTGACAGGGCGCAGAGAGTCAGGGAGGCGGGTGACAACGTGGTAGAGAGTGATCCAGAGCGGGGGGGGTTGCTAGCGAGGAACTCATCAGGCATGGCAGCGCGAAAGCGAGCCTCACTAGTCTTAAGGTGGGTGATGAGGTCTGCGACAGTGTGAAAAGAGGCTAGGTCGGGGAACAGGTAGGGGAGAGTGAGGCGGCCTAGTGTGGCAGAAGCGGGTGAGGAGTAGCGGGCCACTACAGCTGTGTAGAGGTCCTTAGCAGTCTTGCACTGGCCGAAGTGCTCGCGCTCATCTAGCGGCAGGGAGTTGCGAATAGCAAAGCGAGCGTGCGCGTCACGGGTCTGCCACTGTGAGCGCTCAGTTGGGGGGGCAGTAGCGAGTGGGGCGGTCGCATGGCCGAGAGCGTGGTCGTACAGTGTAATATCTTCCTTGGCAGTGAGCTGTAGGAAAAGGTGCAGATCATCTAGCCAGGTTTCGAATTTGACCGGACGGCCCTCGGCGTCGAAAGCTAGAACAGGAGGACTAGCCATAGCGACAGCGGCAGTAGTAGAAGCAGTAAAGTCACTGAACAGGCGTGCGCAGGGTCAGCAGGGCCGGTGGGGCCTACGGACTGTAGTGGCGCACAAGCAGCAGTAGCAGGAAGTGTAGTAGTAGGATCTGCAGTGGTGCACAGGCGCAGCAGGCGGCAGCGAGAGCCGGCGCAGCAGGGGCGGGCTCAGCAGCGGTGATACGCGGGCGGCAGCGGGCGCAGCAGCGGCGGTGCGCGGGCGGCGGCGGGCTCAGCAGCGGCGGTGCGCGGGCGGCGGCGGGCTCAGCAGCGGCGGTGCGCGGGCGGCTGCGGGCTCAGCAGCGGCGGGCCGGGAGCAGTGCGGGCAGCGTGCGGGCCGGCGGCGGTCAGCGCACGAGCCGCGCAGGCTCAGCGCGGGCTGCGCGGGCTGCTCGCGGGCTGCGTAAGCGGGTCGCGGGCGGCTCGCGGGGGTTCGCGGGCAGGTCGCGGGCTGCTCTCGGGGCAGTTCGCGGGCTGTGCGCGGGCTGCGCGGGCTGGTCGCGGGCTGCGCAGGCGGGTCGCGGGCTGTGCGCGGGCGGTTCGCGGGCTGTGAGCGCGGCGCGCTGTGCGGTTCGCGGGCGGCGTGACGGGGCCGATCGGGGCGCTAAGGGGCGACGCGACGGGGGCCGTGAGAGGCCGCTAAAAAAAAAAAATTTCGACGGGGCCGCAGGGCCGCTAGATCGTGCTAGATCGACGGGGCCAGCGGGGCCGGAAACAAGCGAAGGTAAGCAGGTAGGTAAGTCGGTGGGCCCTAAGAACAGTCCTAGTGAAGGACCTGCTCTGAAACCATGTCAGAAATAACTGAGCAGGAATGAATAAACTAGAACAGAGTTTGGTACAAGTAGTAAACCCTAACTTTGTGTACCCCCTAAGGTGTAACCCACTACAGCCTAGACAATATAAACATGCAATGTTTGTCATGTGCTGCAATATTCTTGGATTTCGATTCTGCCACAGCAACAAGACAACAGACTGGATTTCGGACTGCAGATGCTGTAGCAGCAATGGTGACAACAAGACAGAAGCAGTGATCTCGGTTTGCAGATGCTGCTAGCTGGAGATACGACTGCAGGTTGGATTTGCCACGCGGTGATTTCGGGGTGGCTGTCGCTGGATATGCTGTAGTGGCGGACGCGACAACAAAGACAACAAGAAGTTTTCATCGCGGGAAATTTACGACGGGCTTCGACAGAATTTACCCAGGGCATTTTTCTGAGTTTTTGACAGTGGATATTCGCCACCGACTACATTTCGACAGTGCAGCTGCTAACATTTCGACGGGATTCATGATAATTGGCATTCTTGACTACCCTCGGCTTCAGGGTGGTTGGAGTTTCCTACTTGTGCTGCTGGACTACATTGAAGTGCTGCCCGATTTCTTGGAGGGGGGAGAAAGTGCCATCACACTGTTTTTGCTTTACAGATTTCCGACAGCCACGGCTGTTCTGACATTTCTGTCAGACTCGAGTAGCACGGACGCTCGCGATTGACTCACCGACGACACCCACCGCCACCAACATCTGACATCGTATCAGAACCCCAACATCATCGCCAGCGTCACAACCGTTCGATTTGCCTTCGCTTCATCAACGACTCACGTTCCTGCGCAAAATCAACCCGTCTTTCGATTTCAACCCGCCAGATCTACATCTAAAACATTCGACGGCTGACATTCCAACTACATTCAATTTCGCCTAGTCAACTAGTCAGCCTCGCGTCAAGTAGAATGTCAACGTGCTTCCGTGCCGTCAGATCAGTTTCGACCGAGATCTGCAGTTTTCACGCTACTGCAAGACTCGGCTACGTATAAGGGCACCTTATTTAGAAGGTGGGAGAGTGTAATGAATGTGAATTCATTACTGTAGAGGCTGCTCCTAGCGAGGACAGCCCGAACTGTTCGCGTCAGTTTGGGCTCGGCCTACACTTTCGTACCGAACCAGCGCCGAGTCGCCCCGCACCAATCGCGACACTTCCAAGCCAACCACGTTCCGAGGTCCTCACCTCGGTTTCGTCCCTATAAATGCTTGTTCCTTTATCGTCATTCTGTACTTTCATCCTTTTTATCAAGTGTATTCTACAACATAAAGCTGTTTTTGCAGCCATGATGCGAGACTTGCCAAGAAAAGCGCACACCACCCATTTCGAAAGCTGCCTCTTTGATTTCGCACCACCGTACAGCACCAACTGTAGTTTGGCCGATTTCACCGCCATTTTGGTTTTGTCGGTCCTCATGTATGGCTCACGTCCTCTCATCCCTCCCTCTCGAAAATTCATGATGTTTCCTGCCATTTTCATCCATCCGTTCAGGGCTTGTATACACCCGTCCCCCGAGCTCTCAACCCCCTGTGCGAGCTTCAAATCCACTTGACGTCACAGCCGCAAATCCAGGTGAACCACCAATTCTTCCATCCACGCAACGCAGATCATCATGTCACAATATGTTCGGTCTTTCAAGCTGCAAAGCGGTAAAGCGTGGAGGGAGCTTGAGAAATCCCAACGAAACGAACAGATGGAGGGAGCTTGCAAGCTGCAGCATGCGATGCCATTCCATGCCATGCGACGCGACCGCCTTCCTTGCGGCTTGGGGGACGAGCCGTGTTGGGGCAAGCACTGCTCTCCTCTCCTCTCTCCCTCCTGAATCTGCCATGCTTTTACGGAATGTACAGAATCCAGCATCCATCGCTGCGGCCGCGCGTTTTCCTTGGATCGCGATTCGCGATTTGTATGCTGATGTGTAACTTGTACAGTACAGCATGACGGGTTTTTTGGATCTGGGCTGGGGCACTGCTTCCTACCACGTACACAAAATGTGTACGTGGAAAATGCGATCCAAATCGCGATCCAAGGAAAATGCGCGGCCGCACATTTTGTGTACACAAAATGTGCGTGCGGGAATGGGAGCAGAGAGATCAGCGCGCGAGCACTGTTCATATCACACAAACATATGATGACGTAGGTCTTCTGTGTACTATTTAGGCTAGCTGCTCAGCAGAGGACATGCACACACACACACACAGGTCTTCTGTGCAGCTGGCCTTGTGCATTCGGGGCATAAACAAGGCCCCGTCCTTGTCCGTGTCCAGTCCAACCCTCGATGTGTGGACACTGTGCTTATCAACTCTCTCCTTTCTTCATGGTCAGCCACAAGCTCGGCAGAGTTGAGCAGCAGAACAGCTTCACTATGTGCGGCTTTCCGGCCCGCATCCATCTCGCGGCTACGGAATGTACAGCCGCATGTAATGAGTACACCTGCGCTCAGTGCTCGCTCCACCTGCGCCTCTCATTGGCTGCGAGACTTCCTTGGCCGAAGAGGGCCACAGCCCACGGCGCCTCCTCAGGTCTTTTGGCCCTAGCACAGTCCTGAATAGTACCCAAAGCATCACTCGAGAGATCATTCGATTCCTTCATTCCGGATCGGAGCTGGCATTTCTTCCACCTTCTTGCTTCACACGCCTCGGCTCTGATCCGATCTCCCGTTAGCTGGGCATGGAAACTCGGTGCAAGAGTGAGTCGAGTTCACGCCAAGTTCTCCGTTCCGCCTTGTACTAGTTATGCACTTCGCCGCCTTCGGATTCGCCACTTTTCGACTTCCCGTCGATCCACTGCATTTTGCGTTCAGCCCATACCCGAGCGTTGCCCCTGCTGCTTCAGCCCCACTCGTTCTTTCCGCCGCGGCTGTCGCGACGTGTGCCTTGGTAGAGTCCCTAGTCGCGATCGTGTGGCGTGACACGTCGGATCGCGTCGCCACGCGACGGTAACCGCATCCATGGCGACATTCGCCGCCACGAGGCCCTCCATTCGCGTGGGCAGTCACGAAGATCAGTCGCAGCACTTCCCCGCCGCGCTTTCACCCCCTGATGATGCCGCCGCCAGTGCCGGCGTCGCCTCCGCCGCGGCGTCCGGCGTCCCGCCTAGCGCTATCTCAAAACTCGCCGTGAGCATCCCGCGCGGACACCGCGAGGACGACTCGCAGGTGCTTCCGCTGGAGCTCCTGCAGCATTGCTCTCAGCGCGGCCCCGCTTCCGCCCCGGGGCTGCTTCCGCCCCCGGGGCTGCTTCCGCCTCGTCACGGGGTGTTGCCGCGCCCCGGGCTCCTGAAACGCGCGAGTGCGACCCGCCACTGGCGCTGGTTCAGTCAAAGCCCCCCCTTGCCGAGACCAGTAGCTCGGGGGGCCGGCGGACGACCGCGGCGGGCGGCGGCGGAGCAGCACCTAGGACGGGCGGCGCGACCGGCGCGCGGATCGAAGGCGGATCGTGCGCGGCGCGGGCGGTGGCGCTGCACGGTGGCGTTGATCCGCTTGACGTGTCTCTGGCGATGATGGGATCGTTCAGTGAGAGGTCGTCGCCGTCGCACGGTCACGGCGGCCGCGGCGACGGCGACGGGCGTGACGACGAGAAGTCAGCCGAGTCGTCGCCGGTGATGACGTCATCATCCAGCACCCGCAGCGCCGGCAGTTGCAACAGCACAGGTAGCAGCAGCAGCAGCAGCACCAGTAGCAATGGCGGTACTACGATTACTACTAGTACTGGTAGTGGACGCAAGTCAAGCGGTCAGCAGCAGCGGGGTCGAAAGACACCCCATTCCCAGAGGAAGAGCAGCAGCGACAGCAGTCCCGCCAGTCCCTTAAAAAGCGGCGGAGGCGCATCCCCGCCCGCTACCGCCACTGCCTCCGCCGCCGGCGCCAGCGCCAGCACTGGCACGGCTCCCCCGCCTAAACACCGCGGCGCGTCCGTCAAGAACTTCCCCACTGTCTCTTCCGCTCCCGCCGCCGCCGACGCTTTCGCCAACGCGCCTTCTTCCACCCGCCCGTCATCTTCCCCTTCTTCCCTCAAGACCGCGGCGCCGCCGCCAGCAGCCCCTGCGGCGGCAGCAGAGCGCGCGCCTTTCACGGTGGCGGAGGCGGTCGCCGCATTCTCGTCTCGCGATACGATCGTGTCCTCCTCGTCGCCTGCTGCGTGTGCTGCTACTACGATCGCTGGTTCTGGCAACGCGGCGGCATCATTGGCTGGTACTACAAATGGGTCTACGAGGCCTCCGGCGGTTAAAGCCAGAGCCACACCACCGCGCTCCCACGATCCCGCTGCTGCTGGCAGTTTCAGGGACGGCGTGCGCGGCGTCGCTGCTGCGGCTTCCGCCAGCCCAAGCCGCCGCAGCGGCGTGCGCGGCGCAGGCGGAGCAGACGGCGGCACGGACAGCGCGCAGAGGAGCCGAGTAGGAAAATCGACCGCTCTTGAGTCTACTACTAGCGCAAGTAGTGCTATCAGCAGAAGCACTACTTTTGCCGTTACAAGTGCTTCTGGCGGCACGGCGAAGGGCCACGTCTCGCTCGCTTCGGCCGGCAGAAGCAAGAGCTCTACAACCACTGCTAGCTCTCTCATTAACACTTCTGCTACAAGCAACGCCGCCCGACGAGGCGCCGCGTCGGCCCCCAACTCCTCCTCCATGCCCTTCCTTTCCGCTGCCGCCGCCGCCGGAGCCGCCGCTATGCGCGCAGCGGGGGTTGTGCCCGTCGCCGCGGCTGCCGCAAAGTGCTTCGGGCCCGTCCCGGGCGGCATCGGGTTCGGGCCGCGCGTGAATAGCGGCGAGAGCAGCAGCGACGAGGACTGGACGGACGACGAGGCGGAGCGGGTGCGCGGGGAGAGCGCGGGAGAGCTGGAACAGCGCGTGCGGGGAGGAGGCGACGCGGAAGAAGAGAACCGCCGGTGGAACATGATCCCCCGCGCCGCCACTGGTGGTAACAATGCTCCTCCCCGCGTTGACCGCGACACGGACGCGCTTCCGCCGGTGGGCGCAGGCGGTGACGCGGCGGACAGCAGCGTCGCGTGGGGGAGCGACAACGACAGCGACTGCTCGTCGGACGATTCGCGGGGGCTCGCGGGTGGCGGAGAGGCGCGGCGCAGGGGAGCGGCGCAAGTTGAGGCGGCGGAGAGGAGCGAGTGCCGGCGGTTCTCGCTGGCGCAGCTGGAGCACGCCACTGGTAACTTCGACGACGCCAATCTGCTCGGCCGCGGCGCCTTCGGACGGGTGCGTGGCGCCTTCGCCGCTCGCCACTCTTCCTGCCGCATTCCCGCTTCCCTCTTCCTCCTCCCCCCTTCCCGCTCCCCACTACCCTCTCCCTCCTTCCCCCTTCCCGCTCCCCGCTTCGCACTTCTCAAATCCCCATTCCTCTTTTCCCCTTCCCCCTTTCCGCTTCCGCTGTCCACTCCTAGTTCGCGTTTTGAGCACAGCAAACGCATAACCTTTTTCGTTGCCTGCACAACGCAAAATCGCCAAGTCCGCAAGCGCAATTGCATCAAGCCTCACCACCACCTTCCGCTCCCCCTGCCCCCGTCTCCCCCTCCCCTCCCCGTGCCATGACGTGTTGTCTCCGCAGGTGTACAAGGGCCACCTGATGGGGTGCGAGGTGGCAGTGAAGCGGCTGGATGGCGACGGCTGGCAGGGCCCAGACGAGTACTGCACGGAGCTGAGGGTGCTGTCGCGCGCACATCACCCGCACATCGTGCTGCTCATGGGCCACTGCCCCGCCGCGATGTGCCTCGTGTATGAATACCTTCCAGGCGGCAGCCTCGCGGATTATCTGGTCGGCCGAAATGGTAGTGGCAGTGGCGCTGGTGCTGGTACTGGTGGTACCCCATCTCGCCCCGCACTGCATTGGTCGGACCGGGTTCGGATTTTATCCGAAGTGGCGGGTGCTCTGGTGTTCCTGCACCACAGCGACCCTCCTGTTGCGCACCGGGACTTAAAGCCGCACAACGTCCTTTTGGATCTGAATCTCAAGACAAAGCTCGCTGACGTGGGATTGGCTCGGCTGATCGACACGAGTGCAGATGCGGGTGGGAATGTGACCGCGAGGGTGCGGGGCACTGCTGGTTACATCGACCCGGAGGAAGTGGTTACGTGCGAGATTTCAGTTTCTTCGGATGTTTACGCGCTGGGGATAATAATGCTACAGTTGCTAACGGGGTACAGTAATGTGAATCAGGTGCACAAGCTGCTGGCTTCTGCATCTGCCAGTGCCGTGAGTGCTGCTGGTGGGGGAGGAGGAGGATACTTGAATGAGATAAATGATTATGACATGGCCGTGGGCATGGGGGGAGTGGGTGGCGACGTGATAGCTTCCAGTGGAAGAATAACCGGCCACAGCACCAGCACTACCACCAGCAGCAACGTTAGCAGCAACACCAGCAGCAGCAGCAGCAGCAGCAGCAGCAACAGCCACAGCAGCAGCAGTGCAGCGTCCTCGCAGTCTTCAACCCGTTCCTCCGACGCACGGTCTCAGCCCAGCAGCCCCTTGTCTCTCATGGCTGACATGATCGCATCGCATCTGGACCCTGCAGCAGGGGCATGGCCACTGTCTTGCGCCCGTGCGCTTGCCGCTCTGGCCCTGCGCTGCGCATGCCGGCAGCGGCGCCTGAGACCAGACCTGGCATCGGAAGTGCATCCTGCTCTCATGCGCCTCAGCAGTCAAGCTGTTCGCTCTGCAAAAGCTGCTGCTGCTGCTGCTGCAAATGGTGGTCCCGGTGCAGCCGCTTGCAATGGCTCTGCTGCTTCTCCTGCTCCGGCTGGACCGTTTGAAGGGAGGGAGGAGACAGAGGAGGAAAGGCAGGGGGAGCAATGGAGGGAGCGGATGGAGTGCGCGGGACAGAAATTCGGTGGCATGGTGCAGATGGCACACACGGGCAGCTGCTCTGCCCTCTCTCCAAGGTAATGATATGCTCCTGAATGACCAGGAGCTCTCATTCCCTCTCCCCTCCACCTTCCACCCCTTGCTCCCTTTTCTCCCCCAAGTTCCCCTCCTCATAACCCCCTTGTCATGTGCTACGTTCTCAAATCACCCCATTAGCTGTATGTACATAGTTAACAGAAGACTGTGTATCCTTGCGCCTCTCCCCGCTTACCACTTTCAATATTCCACCCGCTCTCCATGCGCAGGCACCCATTAGTGAGCCAGTGGTAGCAGCAGATGGGTTCACATACGAGCAGCAGCACATGCAGCAGTGGCTTGCATCCAGCTCCCTCTCTCCTGTCACCGGCCAACCGCTGCCACACACCTTCCTCACACCCAACGTTGCTCTCAAGCTGCTCTCCTAGTGCACCAGCCTTCGGTTCGGCCACCTCTGGTGTTACAAGGACCCCTAATGAGTTGATTTTGTTTAGGGACTTCAATCCACAATGCAACAAAAGACACTCTACTCTTCTCCCTCCCTCAGCTCTCCAGCAAACCCCATTGACTCGCAATCAAACTCGTTTCATTCCTCTCCCCATTTTGGAAAAGGAAAACCGGAGGCATGCTCATGCACCATCGGTGTCAGATGGGAAAAATATACACTATGCACTGTCAGAATTCTCAGACCAAATAAAACGCTGAGTCAGAGAATTTTCTGGTGAAACAAAATCAGCGGTCTTACCGTAATCAACCGGACATACCACGGGGGGGGGGGGGGGGGGGGGGGGGGGGGGGGGGGGGGGGGGGGGGGGGGGGGGGGGGGGGGGGGGGGGGGGGGGGGGGGGGGGGGGGGGGGGGGGTGGGGGGGGGTGGGTCTTGTCATGGGAAAAAGCTACATAACACCCGGGTCTTTTTCATACGGTATTTTTTTTGTGTAAGGATTTTGATGCAAATACAACTTGGGTGTTTTCAGAGTTAGTTTAACATCACAGCTAGAAGCGAGAATGTGGGTTTTGGCGAGATCCTTTCCCCCCCCCCCCCCCCCCCCCCCCCCCCCCCCCCCCCCCCCCCCCCCCCCCCCCCCCCCCCCCCCCCCCCCCGAAATTGCCAGCTGGCACCTCTTTGGCCACTTGGTAGTGAACTGTCTACCAGCGTGGCAGCAGCGTAAAAGAGGGAGGGGGGTGATTTCGACAGAGTCTATCGAAATTGCTATGTAATTTCATCGAGGAAGAGATTTCCGCGATGTTCTGCAGTACTCGCTAACAGCTATAATTAGAAATCAGGCCCTCAGATATCAGGATAAATTATCCTGATTACCCTGATTTCAGGATAGAGTTGGGGTGCCAGTGCTGGAAAATCAGGATAACATAAAATACAGCCCTGAACTTTCAGTATTATTCTGTATCCTACACTGAGGAATTAAGATAAAGGTGTACCTGTAACACTGAACAGTAGCACAGAAATGTCTTATAACAAGAAAATCACGTTCGTTTACACAGTCCGCTATGCACGACGCAAGCGGGAATCGATCTCCATACTTCCACTGTGACAATTCGCAGATTCAACAACTAGGCCATGACCGAGCGTCGCAAAACGGGGGATTACGCGCCTCTTCTTGCACGGAACCGAGGCGTGCAGTTCACCCCTTTGATAGTGGAGACGTGGGGGTGTCTCGGCGGTCGCTTCCGGCGGTGGCTTCGACAGCAGGGGGACGCGCACGTGGGGCTAGCTGTGTCACGGGGGGCTTGTCGGGAGGATGACACTTCGTTCTCGGCTTACCTTTTGGGGTCTCTGAAGGCGCTCATCGGAGTGGCGTTACAACGGGCGCAAGCTCGTGTCATCCTGCTTCGGGCGGCGTCTTCCATGGGGGGGTTGAATGTGGACTTGGTGGATCGGGAGAGGGACGATGTCGAGGTGGAGGGCGGGCCTCTTTGGGTGGAGGCCCCCTACATGGTGGATGTGCAGATGTGACTTGGGAGGGAGGGGGGGGGGTGGGGGGCGAGGGGGAATGGGGTGCGAGATGGGACGTCTGGTAGGGGATCCTGGTTGGGTTTTTTCTTTATAGAGTATTTTTATGGGGCTTTTTATGGGTGTTGCGTTTGAGTTGTTTCTGGTGTCTTTCTTTCCCGTTCCTCTCCTCTTGTGCGATGCTTTTCTTTGTAAAGATTATGTGTCTGTTGTCTTTCCATGAAGTAATTCTGGGTGAGGCCATGACCGAGCTGCACGAGAAACCGTGCTGATGTTTCCTTTCTTAATTATGAGCCTTGAAAAATCAGGGAAACCATTACATCCAGCGCTGAAGCCTCAGGATAAAGTTTTATATTTTAGGATACAGCCCTGATAGGTCAGGGTACCCTGAAACCAATGTGAGGCCCTGTTAGAATTTTTGTATGAAAGGGGGGTGTTATAGAAAATCGCCCCAAAAAGGGGGGTATAGTAGAAACGAGGTCCGCTATAGCACCCCCCCCGCACAAGCCACCCGGGGGGTGTTCTATTTCGGCGGGTGGTATGTCCGGGTGATTACGGTACGTGTGGTTCAGGGCAAACTAAAATCAGTAGTCTGAAAAATTATGTGGAACAAAAAGGTCAGATTTTCAGACCATCAAACCAATTTCGTCTGATACAGAGAGCAGGCAGGCCTCTCGTTATCAGGGTAAAATACCCTTTTTGCACTGACTGGCGGCCGCTTTTTTTCAGTTACCCTTTCACAGGCAGGGTAGTGGATTTTTTACCCTAGGCCAGAAAGTGTAAGATTTTTAATACCCTTTGAAAAACAGCGTAACGAACATATTTCTCTGACTGTACAGTGTACAAGCCCAGTTACACTGATCCGAACAGACAGTAGCGCGACGAAACACTGTAGCAAAACCCTCTCGACAATGAGATTCGAACCGGCGACCTTCTAGATCTGACTCGGAATCGACCCAACTGAGCCAACAAATGGATACCTTGTGCTTTAGCATCATACATGTATGTATATCGTAATAAATACCCTGACCAAACAGACTTACAATTTTTTTACCCTGCATTTGTCAGGGAAACAAAAAAATTACCCTGAGCATCAGGGTTGACTATACCTAGGACCCTGATTACTAAGGGTCGCCCAAAACGAATCTGAAGGCCTGAGAGCAGGTCGCCTGAAAATTCTACACCTGTTGTGAATAGCGGGAGCTGTGCAGGCCTCCGATACTGTACTAATTTCACCTGGGAAGAGGCGGTAGGTGGGAACACGCCAGGTAGTGCATACTCTCAGAAAGTAGCTACAGCGGAATGAATTGCATTGATTGAGTTGGGGTACAAGTACCTAACCCTTGTTAGAATCTAGCAGCAGGAATGAATGAACTAGCAGCATGCAGGAGTACAAGTAGTAAACCCTAATTGGGTTGTACCCCATATGGGCTACCCCACTACAGCCTAGACAATATGCAGCACATATAGTTTGACACACCCCCATAGGCAAAGTGGGGGAGAACAAGGGGTCACAAGACCAGTCAAGAGAAACAAAACAAGCTCAGGGTGGATCCCAACGTCACCACACATTCTGAGCACAAGCAAAGGGCCACAAGGCCAGTTCACATGCAGAGATATACATGCAGCAATAACAGTACAGTGATGACTACCTAGCAAGAGCCAGCATGCAGGTGTATATATATAAATCACAGTACAAGCAGAGACTACAGCAAGTGTGGAAACGTAGGCACAAGGCCCAACAGAGTACAAAAGCGCTGATGATCACCAGACAGAAGTGCCTTGGTGAATATATCAGCAGTGGTTGCCCGAGTGGCCACGTGGCGAAGACGAAGCTGGCCTCGCTGCTGCAACTCTCGAGCCAGGAAGTAACGCAGAGCAATGTGCTTCGTTCTGTGCTCCAGTCTGTGCTCCTCACACAAGGCAATGGTCGCCTTGTTGTCAACGTACAGCACTGGAGGAGAACGAGGCCGCTCTCCCAAGTCAGTCAGCAGGTAGGTGAGCCAGCGTAGCTCCTGTGCAGCCATGGCGGTGGCGTAGATCTCAGCCTCACAACTGGAGCTGAGAACAGAAGACGAGCGTGTAGACTGCCAAGAAACAGAGCCAGAGCCAAGGCTGAAGGTGTAACCCTGTGACGACCGCTGTGTAGTCTGGTCGTCAACCCAAGACGCGTCTGAGTGCCCAGTGAGGACCACCTCACTCCGTCCTCCAAGCACGAGCCCCATGCCCGATGTACTGCACAAGTAGCGCAGTACCCTCTTAGCAGCAGCCATGTGCTCTGGTCGGTGCCTACCAGGAGCCACGTAGCGAGCGAGAAGGCCAAGAGGGTACGCAAGGTCAGGACGAGTGCAGGTCATCAGATACATGAGGCAGCCCACTAGCTCTGGGTAAGGACCACTCGGCTCAACGGACTCGTCCGAAGGTGGAGCTGAGAGCGAGTGACCTGTAGCCAGAGGAGTGTGCTGTGGCGAGGACCAGGTGAAGCCGAAGCGCTGAAGGACCTGCTGCACCATGTGTGACTGAGTCAGTGTGATGGTGCGACGTGCTCTGTCCCGAGTGATCTGCAAGCCAAGGTAACTGCGCAGCTCACCCAGGTCTGTGCACGTGCGTCTCTTCTGCAGCTCCGACTTCACCTGAGCGAGAGCCTCAGTGTCAGCAGTGGCAAAGACCAAGTCGTCGACGTACACGAGGATGTAGAACGGCGGCAGCGAAGTGTCGGTGCGCAGGAACAGCGACGGGTCAGCTGTCGAAGGAGCGAACCCAAGAGCCGCCAGTGTCGTCCTCAGTGTGTCGTGCCACTCACGTGGCGCCTGGCGGAGACCGTAGACTGGCCGCCGGAGGCTCCACTGGGTACCAGGAGGGAACGACCCAGTGAAGCCAGGTGGGCGGCGCAGCCAGATCTCCTCGTGCAGGCTGCCCTGTAAGAAAGCTGTGCTAAAGTCAAGAGAGTGAAGCTCGTAGTCACGCTGAGCGGCAACGTGCAGCAGCACCCGAAGAGTAGTCATCTTCGGGGTGGGGGAGAAGGTCTGGAAGAGGTCAATTCCCTCTCGCTGACTGAAGCCTCTAGCAACGTAACGAGCCTTGAAGACAGGCGGAGAACCTGGCGGCCGCTTCACCCTGAAAATCCACATGCCATCGACGATGTTCGCCCCAGGAGGGGGAACCTCATCGACGTAAGTGCCTGTGGACTTCCAGGATGCCATCTCTGCGTCCATGGCTGTCTGCCACTGAGAGGAGTACTCACCCGCGATCGCCTCAGCGTAAGAGCGCGGGGTCGGGATGTCTGGTGCATCCGGTTCTCCCTCAGGGGCAAGCAGCATGGCCACGAGATGAGGCGCAGCAGCCGCAAGACACTCAAGGTCCTCGTGCCTGTCCTCAAGGACGTCCGTGCTAAGAGCACACTCACCCCCGACGGACGGAGGACAGGCAGACTCAGACTCAGCAACAAGACTAGCAG